CGTCACTCCCATCCCCAACATGGGACATCTGGCCCCGTTTGGCAGCCTGACCTGCATATTTTCCTTAATCCCTGGAAAAGCGGCTGAGGGCGATCGCTGAATCTTTATCTCCTCTTCCGATTGCCTGGTGAGATCCACCTCCGCTAGAGAAGGCAGTGGGAAAGCGCTGGGCCAAGCCTGCTGGGATTTCGCAAAGCCAAAAGGCCGCCATGTGCTTTCTATCTCCTTGTCAGCTCCCAGTTGGGCTCAGCATGAGAAATCCCCCCCAGTAGAAGAGAATCAGGGTTGAACTGTGGAGTCCTTGGTGCTCTCTGAGCTGGGTGGTTGGTTTGCAGACACTGTTGATGTTATCTAGTTGGGTAACGAAACATCCGCCGGGCAACCACCCAGCTCAGAGAGCACCAAGGTCCTCCCCACCCTTCCCTTCTTGTAACGGCCCCCACTTTTTGTGACTCGTAACCAATTCCAGGTCCGATAACCAAAACCCAAACCATCTCGACCAACCCCTCTGCTTCTGAGAGCAGCAGCACCAACCACAGCTTGGGGAGTACCCAGAGCACCCCATGTTCCACCAGCAGCATGGCATAGCACCATGGGAACAGGGAAGCAGCAAGATTGCTTACGGACTTCTCTAGAGGACTGCAAAGCAGTTGGGCTCCAGGTGGTGAAGAGGGTTCGAGATCCCACCGAGGCGACTTCTGTTCTTCCCCTTTTAATACATCGAAGAGTTTGTGGTTTTCAGCCATCAACTTCAAAGGATACTTCTTGGAAGCCATCAAGACAAGCTGAGGAGCACGGCAGCGGCTGGTTCCACGGCTTCACCCACCACCTTAGGGATGCCTTAATCCGTGGCAAGCAGTGGGAGCCCCAGAATGTGGCCGGTTAACGGTCGCCAAAGTCTTCAAGGCTGAAATGCTGGATTAGTCTCTTCCCCTTCCGGCACCGGCTAGTGGGAGACCTGACCGGCCATTGCTAATTTGTAAACTACAGCAGCAGCAGCTAACCTCACTTCCAAAAGAAAGAAACCAGGACGAACTAGGTTTGTGGAGGTTCGCTTTGTCTTCTTGCTAAGGCACTGGAGACCGAAGCAACATCTGAATCTACAGCCCCGTAAGATTGAAGAGCGTGTCCTTCCCATTAGGTGCCGAGGACTTCCATGGGTCACTGGACCCAAATATTTCCATGAATGTTGTTCCCTTTTCTGCTGACTTTGGAGTTGGCCTTCCAAAGGGATGGGCCCGGTCGCCCTGAACTCCGATTCCCATCAACTCTCAGCAGCGAACAAGCTGGGGATGATGGGAACAAGAGTCCCACTTTTAAGTTCTCTGCTTAAAAGAACAGCTATGGCCTCTCTTTAAGATCGGGAACACACCAGCCCTTTCGGAGCAAGAGTTAATTCGGGAGGGGAACGGGCAAATATCCTGCCTTTTTTGCAGCCCTCCAACCCCCATTAGTGTCAAATCACATCACTGTATCCTTGGCACTTCCATTCCCCCGTTGGCTGGGTTCACACACCATGGGCGGCCCAAGAATTAACCCATGTTAAGCACTTACCCACTTCAGCTGGTTGTGTGAAAATAGCTATCGTGCCACGCGTACTATCATGCTGCTGTTTTATAGTAAGTTGTACTAAGGTTTGGTGGTGGGGAGCAGTAGAATATTCCCGCCCCCCACCCACACCCCAAAAACCCACCTAAATACCACTGTATGCTATTGGCCCCTTCGGCCCACGGGGAGCAAAGCAGGAATGGGAGACTGTAGCGTCCTCCTTGTAAAAGGACAGCGAATCGGGGCCATCTCTGTTCTGAAAGACCTATAACTGTACGTATATAAATAACTATACATAGAATATATTTTGTAACTGTTTACAGGGAAATAATACAATGCCTACTCACTGTTGTCAGTTCTGGGGGGTTTTTTTGAGTCCTAAGGTGGGCAGGGGGGCTGGGAGGACGGACCCCCGAGCTGCGTCATTTGGGGGTGGAGAGCCCACAGGGGAAACTGAGTCACGTCTGGACGACGTCCCACAAGATGCATTTCCTATCAACAGGAGCAGCCCAGCTGGAATTGCTGCAGCTGGAGAGACAGATGCTGAGGCTGGGGAAATGTCCTGTTTGACAGATGTAAATAAGGGCATGCTTTTTTTGACACACACACACACACATTCTCCTATAGCTCTGTCGCCCTCTAGGGGACAGGCTGTTTTCATCTTCTGGACTTCTCCATGCAAAAAGGCCCCCTATTGGATAGTTTTAAAAATGCACTTTGGGAGGCTTCAAAAGGAGAAGCTGGGTGGATCCAGATGTGGCTGAATCCGGTGACTTGGGCTGTTTGGAATTACAGCTCAGTGACGGCTGGAAAATCACAAGCCTCCCGCCCCGTCTGTCAAAAAAATCTCACCATTTCCCTTTAACACACTAGAGTTACATCAGCAATCCGCCCCGGGTCCAAATCCAAGAGCCCTCCCAAAGTTACTGCCACATTGCAAAGTTTAATGTTACAGGAGAGGAAATAAATCGGTGGGCCGTTGCCATATTAACTGTATTCAATGAATTTGCTTTTAATGGAATGCCAGCTCCAACTAAATTAGTCACGTTTAGTTCTTCTCCCACCCTGGCCTTCGGCACGCGGAAGCAAAATCTCGTCTTTGATCCAGAGAAAGAATCACAGCAACCCCTAGTGAGCTTCTGAGCATTTTGCAAAAAGGCTGATCTAAGAAAAAGCTTGCATCAGCTTCATGCTGGCTGCTTGAATCTCTTACCGAAGTTCAATAGCTCTTCTTCCCTTTTCTGTTGCAGGGTTTCCACTGAATCGAAATGTTTATGAACATTCCATACCCTGCAAAGAGCTTAGCTAATTTGAGGAGGGGCAAAAGAAATTAAACAAAAGGAAATGGGAAATGGGGAAGGAAGGAAGGAAGGAAGGAAGGAAGGAAGGAAGGAAGGAAGGAAGGAAGGAAGGAAGGAAGGAAGGAAGGAAGGAAGGAAGG